CTACATGAATTTACACTTAAATAAAATACTACAGATGTCAATCTATTTTATAGGTTAATTCCTTTTATCACTTTCTAAGAGAGTATGTTGAAAATGATGCCCAAGTTATTATGTTCAACTATTTGTGTTTTTGTGACAAATCCAGCTGAGCCTGCTTTATTTCAGAGGGTATTTAGTGGTATTTTTTTTCTTCAAAAATATGCTTACTACTACAACATAAATAAGTTTTGTTGTTTAAATAAGGTTAAACATTTACTTAAAACAAAATTTTGAGAAACACACACGTTTATAAAGATCAATTACCTCATTTAGTGTCAGAGATTGGAAGAAACTTAGTTCAAAACCAAATGGAATTTGCACATTTATCAATTAAGTAAGAAGGAATTATACTCATTGATAAAATAAATGTTAATCATGGTTTTTGAGAAACAGAAATGTATATATAAATATCAGCTACTATGAAATTAATCTTCCCCCAAGTTATGTTTTCTTTCTTCATGGGAAAATTGGACAGGCTAATTTCCTGAATGTAACAGATAAAAGCAATGTCATATTTTATTCAATGGGTATTTTTAAATATGGCATGCTTTATTTTAACGCATATATACATATATGTACATAATGTATGTGTTTCTGTAGGTTGTGATAGGGAGCAAAAAGAGAGAGGAAAAGATCTTGAGGGATGGTGTGGAAGCGATAGTAGAATCCATGTGACATGAAAGCAGGAAGAGCCCTTAGTGTCAGGAAAGTGACCAGACAGGCCAGGAAGGTGGGGACAATGGGGCAAGGAATTGTGGTTGAATAGGAAGAATCAATAAATAGGACCTCGTGAAACTGAAAAGCTTCTGCAAAGCAAAGGACACCATCATCAAAACAAAACAAATGCCTACATATTGGGAAAGAATCTTCACCAACCCTTTATCTGACAGAGGACTCATATCCAGTATATATAAAGAACTAAAGAAGCTGAAAAGCAGCAAACCAAGTAATCCAATGAAAAAATGGGGAACAGAGCTAAACAGAGAATTCTCTGTAGGGGAATATAGAATGGCAGAGAAACACTTAAAGAAATGCTCAACCTCATTAGCCATCAGGGAAATGCAAATCAAAACGACCCTGAGATTTCACCTTACACCCATCAGAATGGCCAAGATGAAAAACTCACGTGACAACACATGCTGGAGAGGTTGTGGAGAAAGGGGAACGCTCCTCCACTGTGGCTGGGAATGTAAACTTGTACAATCACTCTGAAAATCCATCTGGCCTTTCTCAGACAACTAGGAATAGCACTAACTCAAAATCCAGCCATACCACTCCTAGGCATATGTCCAAAAGGTTCTCAAGTACACAATAAGGACATTTGTTCACCCATGTTTGTAGCAGCTTTATTTGTAATAGCCAGAAGCTGGAAACAACCCAGATGCCCCTCAACTGAAAAATGGATACAGAAATTGTGGTACATCTACACAATAGAATATTACTCAGCAATGAAAAATAAGGAAATCATAAAATTTGCAGGTAAATGGTGGGAACTGGAAAGGATCATTCTGAGTGAGCTGTCCAGAAGCAGAAATACACACAAGGTATATACTCACTCATATAGACATATAACATAGGATAAACCTACTAAAATCTGTACATCTAAAGAAACTAATCAAGAGAGAGGACCCTAACTAAAATGCTCAGTCTCCATCCCAAAAGGAAAAGAGAATGGACATCAGCAGAGAAGAAAACAAGAAACAAGTTAGGAACCTGCCACAGAGGGTCTCTGAAAAGCCCTGCCCTCCCGATTATCAAAGCAGACGCTGAGACTTACGGCCAACTGTTGGGCAGAATGCAGGGAATCTTATGAAAGAAGTGGGAAATAGTAAGATCTGGAGAGGACAGGAACTCCACAAGGAGAGCAACAGAACCAGAAAATTTGAACACAGGGGTCTTCCCAGAGACTCATACTCCAACCAAGCACCATGCGTGGAGATAACCTAGAACCTCTGCACAGATGTAGCCCATAGCAATTTAGTGTGCAAGTGGATTCCATAGTATTGGGAAGAGGGACTGCCTCTGACATAATCTGATTGGCCTGCTCTTTGATCACCTCCCCCTGAGGGGGGAGCAACCTTACCAGGCCACAGAAGATGACAATGCAGCCACTCCTGATGAGAACTGATAGACTAAGATCAGAAGGAAGGAGAGGAGGACCTCCCCTATCAGTGGACTTGGGGAGGGGCATGCGTGAAGAAGGGGGAGGGAGGGTGGAATTAGGAGGAGGGGAGGGGGAGGTTTATGGGGGGGGATACAAAGTGAATAAAGTGTAATTAATAAAAGTTAAAAAATAAATAAAAAGAAAAAAAAAGAATGAGGTTAAAATGTCATAATAGAAACTATTACTTTGCATTCTAACTCAAAAATCTAGTAAAAAACACCTAACCCTGTGAATGTACCTTGGACAATTTTATTTTTAATCAAGACTGATATACTAAACTATATGTATTTCAGTCATATGGTTTATTTTTTAGAATATATATATTCATAATTTGGTATAGATCATTTGATATAAAATTAAAAGCAGACATGACTGTACTTTATTATCTTTTTTCACCCTTTCATGTTTATCTGCCATTTTCAATTTTTGAGATTATTATATCAACATTTCTCCCTTCCTCTTCCTCCCTCCAGATCCTCCTTTACGTCCCTTCTTGTTCTCTTTCCAATTCATGGCCTCTTCTTTTATTAACTATTATTGCCTGCTTATTTGTATATGCCTATACATGCGTATTCCTAAATACCACCTTCCCACTCTGTATTTTCCTTGTATGTATGTTCCAGGACTGACTATTTGGTATTGGATAATGCATTGGTGCACTCTTCTCTGGGGAAGACTATTTCTCCTGCTCTCAGGGTTCCTTAGTTTCCTGTGGTTCTTAGTGTGGGCCTGAGGCCTTTCCTATCTTAAAGAAGTAAATCATCTTTAATTAGTAACGTTACTCCACGTTTCGCATAAATTCTTGTGAACCTAGTTAAAATTATATTTCTGTGTTGTCATTCCATTGCTGAGGTTATACTATATAGGTTATACTATAGGTTATACTGAGGTTAAGGTCTGTTGACTTCGTGTGGCGACTCCTATGTGTACCATGGAACACAAACGGAGGTCAGAGAACAAGTTCTAGCAGTGTATTCTACTGTTATGATTTTATTAATAGGACACATGCACTGTAAAGATAAATGTAAAAGTACATCTTAAATACTTTCAGATACATTTAATATGTTTATTGTAACTCTTCTAAATCACCGTGTAAACGATTAGCTTTTTTACTGTAAAACTTTCAAAGATTACCTAAGTCCCTCTGAATATGTTTAAATCTGACTTTTACAGATTCAACCACAACAGAAATAGTGGTTTTAAGCTAAGTCCTTCTCTTTGTGTGCTTTGGTTCTGTATGATTCTAAACATTTTAAAATCTAGTACTCTTTCATGGCTGTTGTAAAAAAAAAAAAAAAAAAAAAAAGCAAGGGAAAAAAAATCCTTGTGTTTGAATTTCAGGAAACTCACAAAGAGCAGTTGCCCATAGAGTGAGGCTGGAAATGATGTCCATGCACAATGCCACCGTCAGCAAGGACTGAGTACAAGGGGGTTATAATAAATATTCACATCTGCTGCTTTGGACATGCTAATCCATCCTAAGGATGTTTGCTGTGTCAGGCTTTGTTCTAGATGAAGAAACCCAGTAGTTAGAACGGTTTGCAAACAGGCCATATTTATCATGGTTACCTTGACTCTTAAAGCTTCTCTCTGTTTCAGAGGCAGCTATGATGATTTGAGGATGGTATGTGATGAAATATTTCACCACACTTTTCAAAGCGACGGCCTTCTTGAATTCTTAGTATGAAACAGACAAATTCCCTTTCAGGATGTATCGCCTACCCAAATTCTGTCCAGAAGGCATGGCTGATACAGTGCCATCTGGATGTGGAAACATGATGGTTACAAGTCTGTAGGTTTGAAGTGTTTGTATTTGAACGTTGGTTCCTTCCACACACAATGAACAACTTGCTTAGCCTACCCAAGCCTTCATCTTTATGGGGGAGTTACTGCAATGTCCTCTGCCATAGGGTCCTTCTAAGAATGATTCACATCAAGTACCCAGTGTGGTATCAGCATGTTAAAAGAGTTTGAAAAGTTTTAAACTCTGTTGTTGGGATGATAATACACCTTCTATGTATGATTAGATAACTAATGGAAAATTTAATGCTTATGTCCTAAATTCAGGTGCACTATCCTACTGGAGTTTATCAATAAAATTATTAAGTAAAATTAAGTTATTTTAATTTTTTGGTACTCACTAAACATATCATAAGAATTATAAAATGCCCCGCACTAAACTTGGATTACTTTATATATTTTCATTTGCAAGAATTCAGAAATTTAAGTCAAATTAAAAGTCATATAATTTTTAGGAAGAAATAATTATTTTTTTCATTTCAACTCCAAAGAAAATGTATTGAATTTATAGATATCCCAACTGTCATAGATTTATACAATGACTTAGCAGAATTATAATAAATATATTTAAAGCAGGTAAATACATTTTATATCTTCTATGATAAATACATATATATATATAATATGTTCTATTTTCCATTTAGATAGCTATTCATTTAAGTTATTTTAATATATTCATATGAAAAATAAAGTTGTCTTCTTTAGTTCCTCTCAATCTCATCTCAAAATAATCTGTCAATCACAAATACTAGAATGATGGGGCATTCAGAGGTCATTACCTCTGAATGTTAAGCAAGTAGAGCTACTGGCTTTTATTCTAAAGGTATCTTACTTATGGCTCAAATTATCTTTATAGATAGGAGTTAGTTCATATTTAACAGTATCCTAACATAAAAAATTAGTCTGTTGAATCACAGTCAAAACAAAATAAAATGTTGTGTTGTTTACACACTGTGACTGCTTGGGACAAATCTCTCTCTGGTTCTCTCTCTTCCAGGTCGAGTTTTAGCTCAGGCGAGCGCCAGCGGGATTATCCATTTGCTGCATCTTAAAACTGGGCAAATTCACAAACTGGTGGGCCATGAGAATGAGGTTCACACTGTGGTGTTTTCCCAGGATGGGAAGAATATATATTCTGGAGGATCTGACGGCACCGTTCGATTGTGGCTCTGATCAGCAGCACACCCTGATGCAAAGGGCAGTCCCTCTATGGCTTAAAACTGCTCCATACAGTCTGCTTGCAAGCCAGTAAGCAACTGGCTAAAACAGCCAATAAATAGCATACTGTTTTAAAACAAGCTTGGGTGAATACTACGTGCTCCATACCGTTACAAATAAAAATTACAACTTTTTGCTCATTTATATGTCTGGTTTTTCCTCCCATTCTCTTTCTCTTTCTCATTTGGTTATGAATTTAGAGACAGGGCATCTTTGCTAAGGGGTTGGAAGAAACAGCTTTACAATGACGCCTAATGACAGACTAGATGAATTACAAGACATTGATTTTTAACGTTAGAGAACAAACTGCAGGAAAACGCGGCTACTTTCTTTCCCCCTAAATCAAACCCGAGCTATACAAGACCCAAAGTTGAATTATGCATAGCACAAGAAAAACCTTTCTATAGCCAGAGGGTCAAATAGAGCAGGCAAGCATACATTTTCACAGTCTTTGACAACGAGTGAGCTTTATCTATCAGTAACACCCAACTGCAGATAGCTTAAATCTAAATCTAAGTCCCCGGAACTTTCGTCTCTGCAGCCCATGCAAGAACGCATTAGGTGAAATCACATCTTTTTGATTTTTTTTTTAATTGTGATTTAAATGCAAATAAGTGTCTCGCACGCAGAATCCCCCCACCCCCCACCCCTTCCCGCTCGCATCTGCTGTATCAAGTGACTGCTTAGACAACACTCCAGCCTGGTCCACGGAAGCAGCTGGAGGGGGGGGGGGGGAGTTCAACCAAGCTGGGCTCAGAAGCCAGTTGTTGGCGCTGTCCGTGGTGCTGAGGAATTCCCGGCTGCCGGCAGGATGAGCTCCGAATCAGCAGTCTGCAAACTGCTCCCAAGGATGCCAAACCCCAGCTAAAGTTGCGCCTTTGCTTCACGTCCACAGTTACAGTCTTCTGGTGTGTGAGAAGGGATTCAGTCAACACACTGTGGACGATGCTGCTGCTTCTGCCGGTGGAGTGGGCTTTAAGCTTCAGTATGCTGTTTCTGTTTGTGATCCTCAGAGCCTAGCCAAGTCACCTCTACCGCCGTAGCAAACACGGTGTAAGTGAACCCATGTGTGGAGGAGGCGTAATCGGCCAGGAAATTTCATAGAAGGATCTAAGAAAATGCTAAAAATAAGTTCAACATGATTCTGTTACCGGGGTCCGGATTTCCACAGGACCAGCACTGCTTCTTGCTTTGAATTCTGAAGACAGGTCCAAAGCATATTTCTATGTGTGTCTGCTGTGTTTCTCTCTGGAAGGGTGGGAGACGGCTTCTTGGCTGTGTTTTGAAATGGGAGGTAGAGAGGATGGATTGCCTTTAATTCATGCCTGAAAATGCATTCTTTGGGTGACTAAAGAGGACCGGCTTTCCTAGGAGATACCTGACCTTTAAGTTCAGATTGGTCTGTGACCCCCCCCCAGCACCACCATTAACCTCAGAGTGACTAGGTAAGTGAATCTTATGACATGAGTTGTATTTGCTTTCTCAAAAAAAAAAAAAATAGATGCAGTCATTTTAAATCATATGTAGCAATACACGGAGGGGGTTAAAGTTTAGCTGGGAAGTGATCCTAAGCTCCAGTGTTTGCGTTCTTATTTAAAATCTTCAGATAACGGTGTTGTTTGATTTCTCTAAACTCCCCCTTTACAGTAGTATCTTAAATGGCACTACAGCAAATTTATTATGATGAAGGCTCTTTAAAAAAATAGCCTAAGAACTTTGTTTCAATAAAAGGATATGTATCCCTCATAATAAAAGCATGCTTAATGTTAATATGAAGCAGACACCCCACCCCTATTTTTTTATCTTTCATTTTACATTTCTTATAACCTGGTACATTAATGCCTACCTGTGGCTTACAAAATGATCATTTTCTGCCTGGGTCATTCTAGAGCAGAAGCCGGTGTGTATTTCACATGGCTTTTCTTGCATGTATTGATAGGCACTGCTGTGTGCTGTGAGGAGGCACGGTAGCTTCGGTAGCTTCCTCGCCTTGCAAGATAAACTTTCTGCATATGTGAGAGGGGCATAAATGTATGCTTTAATTAGTACAACATCTTTATACCTTTCCAGAAGCCTCCACTGTGTTTGTGGTCTCTGTAGTAATTTAGAAGAAAAAAAAATGCTTTGTCAAAAGGAGCTCCCAGCTTCTGAAGTAGAATTGTAGGTTTGCATTTTCCTGTTCTGTCATGACTCATTATTCTTGACATATTTTAAGAGAAATCCATCTCCTTTATCATTACCCCAAAGGAATTCACCCAGAAGGAATTCTAATATCAGAGAATATTGAAGGAGTAATAATACCAACCTTCTCTTAAAGAGAATATGAATACATTGCCTTCCATTTTACTATTACCAGAATTTGCATATCTAACTTAAGATGCAAATATATTCTAAGAGTTTATGAAGTTTTATAACATCCTCTTCATCACATTTAAAATTATCATGATTGTATGATAGCCTGAAAAGAAGTGGCTTGTCACTGTTTTTAATATAATTTGGAAATAAAACAATGAATAAAACTTAGATATTTTGAAATGCCCTACATACAATCTTAGTGATATTGGCATAAAGCCAATAGCATTTAAATAGATGAATGGAATGTTTTATAATGGTCTTTCTTATCCATTACTCTCCAAAATTATATTTCTCCTGGAGACTTTGCATAAGTTAGCTACTCTAAATATTCAAAGGAGATCCCATTACCAACACTTACTACCAAATATTAACACTTAGGAAGCTTACAATAGTAACCCAGATAATAAGTCATACAGTCTGTTAATGTCGATGCTTCATTAATATTTTAAGAAACTTTCACAAAAAGTTTTGTTTTCTGACATCTTTGTCCAGATTAACTGAATGCAAATGTTTTGGTCATTTCAAATGAATTATATTTTCATTAAAATGTGAATGTTATTCATATTATATGGAAAGAATCAACTTCAAATAATATTACATGGCCATTAGACCTTCGTTGCTATAAAATTTGTAGATAGGTCTTTCCTGCCCACTAGGAGCTTACCTCCTGCATAAAAATAAAGATGTGGACAATAGTATAAATGGCTTTGTTTATAACGAGTCTATTTCAATAAATTAAATTTTGTATAATTTATTTTAGATATGTTTTCTCTTATTCACCATGATTATTGTGCTATTTCTTTATATCTAGAGTCTTCCACATTCAGAATATGAGCATGAGAAAGATTGTCTATATACAGGATCCATCTCATTTAAACTTGCGTCCAACTGTTGTTTTATTTTTTCAATTCCCTTGCTTTTAGAATTTATTGCTTTACCCTACTCTCTTGTTTTCATGCAGATTATTATAACATCTAATTCTATTACTTACTCATCCAATTCAAAGAAAAATATGGATGTGATTTTAAATATTCTTTAACTATATATCAATAGCTACTTTCAATCACCTTCTAAGACTCAGTGAAACCACTTCTTACAATGTGCAAAGAGGCAGACCATTGGAACTCAAAAGAAACAGTACAACCTGAAGGCCCTTAAGTAAAATAACTCCATAAATGACCTTTAAAAAAACTGACATTACCAAAGTCCACTATTCAAACTTAACAATAAAGTATAGACAGTTGGATGAACTTAGTTTATTTGAAGTCTCAGTGTCTTCCAAATTGAACCCATACAAACAATTTAAGAGCATGGGCTTAAATGCATCTTTATTCTCTTTATATATGTCAAATTACCTTTTAAATATTTATTTTCAGCCCACCCCTCTTGCATTCCCATGGAAGGAGCTGAGTGTATTTAATATTAGGAGAACATCCAGAAGTCTGTGAGGAGGGGGATGGCTCTTCATATTCATGAAGCTTGCATACTGCTATTGGTCATCCCTGGATTGGTCACCTCTGCTGCCATCAGTCACGAAGACTATCCTGCTGATGAAGGTGACCAGGCTTCCAGTAATGACAATCTGATCTTTGATGACTATCGAGGGAAAGGGTGTGTGGATGACAGCGGCTTTGTATACAAGTTGGGAGAACGGTTTTTCCCTGGGCATTCCAACTGTCCGTGTGTCTGTGCTCTAGATGGACCGGTTTGTGACCAGCCAGAATGCCCCAAAATTCATCCGAAATGTACAAAAGTGGAACACAATGGATGCTGTCCCGAATGTAAAGAAGTGAAAAACTTTTGTGAATATCATGGAAAAAATTACAAAATCTTGGAGGAATTTAAGGTATGAGTTACCCTCCATATTTATTGAATTCTAATTTTTACCATAACATGCTTAGCAGAGTACATTAAAATTGAAGCTAGAAAACATAAAAGAATATGATTCTAGGAAAGACAAGTAGCACCATTGTTGGCAGAAGACCAGTTGATTCATTGGCCAATATTTCACAGTAATATTTTTATTCAGAAGTCTTCAGCTCATGATTTATACCTTTTCATTTTTAACCCTTAAAAACATTGCTTCTGCATTTTTACAAAAAAAAAAATTGTGAAGGAGATGGTTTGAAGGATGTACCTGTTAAATTAATTTTCATATTCTGTTAGTTTTCTGGCTTATTAGTCTGTATTTGGACCCATTTACCAATGGCCTTGACATATTTGTTTACTATGTAGACATGTACCTACTACAGAAGAAAACTCAGAGCTGTGATCTTTATATTAAGGAAATGCATCGGGCCTACTTGTCACACAGCTGGGCTCTGGCTCAGCTGTATGCTCATCAGATGCTTTGCTCAAAAGACATATAGAACTGAAGTTTTTCATGCTCACCAAAAAATGGAAGTCAACTTTTCAATTACATGATATTATTTTTCCTTTTATCCTTCGGTCTTATTTTCAAATAATGTGGAGTTTGTTTTTATTTCTTCTTGGGTTCCCTTTTATCTGATGGCTGACTTTAATTAGAATGTCTTCCAAGCCACATTTGAGTCCTGGGGCATGAATTAATGCATCAAGAATACACTACTTAATTGTAAAGACAGTTTGTGTCTGGGAGTGCATTTCGTGCTGAAAGCTCGATAGGAAAGGGCCTTGTTCAATCAAAGTTCTGTGGCATGAGATTCATGGCATTATATGGCAACATAGGGAAAAACGGTTACAGGTGGTCTTGTCTGAGTTTGGGAAAAAAAAATGTTTTAGACCTGATCTAACTTATCTCTCTACAAAGTAAAATTGTGCCAGAAGTCAGCATGTGGCAGAAAGATTTGAACTGGTCATCATTATTGTTTTATTATATTCAGTCTATTCTGGGCCATGAGCTCAAACTCACTCTAGTTTTTACAGTAATCCCTGACTTTTTTTTCACTACCTTCTTTTGAATATAACAAAATGGTTTTATTGATTATATCAACCTTGTTAGATCTGTTTTCTAGACTTTTCTCTTTCATGAATTGTAAAACTTTGTTGTGCAACATTAAGAAGTAAAAGCTAGAGTCTTAGTAAAGCTACCCTGACACCAAATGGCAGTTAAGAGCATGATATCATATACTGACTAATGACAATATGGTCTTTATTGTATATACTTTGGCATTAGCTCTTTCTACTTTCACATAGTAACAAAGTAAATATAGTACCCACACATTATGGTTTTTAGACTTATGGCCAAACTCTGTGGCTGTTCCTTCTAATGTGTTCATATATCTGGAGTAGAATTTTTCTGGAAAGAATATCTAGCCCAAACCAAAAATCACAGGAGATATAGTTTTTGACAGATAAACTTTGGCAATCGGCATTTAAAATATAAAAGAATAGATAGTCTGGTTTATGAGTTTAGTCAGCTTGCGCTTAGAATGCTATTGTTTTTTCTTATGCTTAGTAGATTTACTTAAAAAAAAACATAACTTTGAGGGCTAGAGAGATTCTTCAGTGCTTAGGAGTAGGGGCTGTTCTTCCAGTGGACTTGGGTTTGGTTCCCAGCACATACATGGCAGCTCACCATCTGGACCTCCAACCTCAGGAGATCTCATACCCGCTTCTGGCCTCCTCAGGTATCAGGCATACATGTGGTAGACTGACATACATGTAGGTCAAACACCCACGCCTGCAGATACAAATAAATTAAAAAATTGAAAGGTACCTGTGTTATTGTCTCAAACAACACAAACATATATGAACAAAACATTGATTATTCTTGTGCTCCTACTTATAGCTGCACTGTAGTATAAAATACTTTACATATCGTTCCTTAATAACAAAGCACTTGTACCTATCTCTGTCGGTGGATTATTAAATATATATTTAAAAAAAAACAGATTCCACTTAATCACAAACACATGGCCACAAAACCCTGTAGATATTATCTAGGACAAAAGTTGTTAGAATGAGGAATTAAGACCAAAAAAGTTTAAGTTACCCCCTAAAGTCAACCATTTATTTAACCTATTTCTTAATACTGCTTTCTGGTAATTAAATCTATTCAACCTCCCAAAGCACTTTCATGTCAAGGTCAGAAACAGCTGGATTGGAAGCCCAAATTCCTCGGTGGGATGTAAGATCTGAGCCACAATAGTAAGACTATAAAATAGCCGTTGTAATGATTAGATCCCTTGTGAAGAGATGCTGAAAATATTTAATGAAATATAATGAAGTCATTAAGCCCAGCCCAACCAGAACATTTAGGAAGTGAATAAATTGTTGTTCTCCTTTATCCGTCATTCTCAAATACAGAGGGATTTACTCCAGGTTCTAAGTTCTTCAGAGTCCTTAGACTTCATAACTGAAATTCAATTTTAAAAGCATTTCAAATGAAGGAATTTAATACCTTTTATAAATGTTGTACTTGTCCACATGAGCGATATAACTAAGTAAACACTAGTCTGAGACTTTTTGAAAACAAATTGGATGAAAAATTCACCCAGTGAATATTTGTTGTGCTTTTTGGTATTCAAGATACTATAGTCTAGAGACAGTTCTTTTGGGAATGGAAGCATCTCGAAGTTAAAGTACTCCCGAGAAAGGCACAATTGGCGTACAACTCAAATGAAAAGAAAAGCAGACACATTTTGAGTTTATGGACCCAAGGGTGGCCACACAAAGCTTGCAATCTCAGCATTTGCAAATCTGAGACCGGAGGATCATGGTTTCACGAGGCTAGCCTCAGCTACACAGCAAGACCCTATTTCCCGAAGTGGAAGCGAAGTTTCATTTACAACTCTACAGTCCTGGCATATGCCCAAGACTTACGGTACGAAAGACTTATTGACATATCATGAGGCTTGCCGAAGAAAGACTCCTTTCTTCAAGATGGTTAACGTTGAGGTTGTGTCTTAGGGTGATTGAGGTTGATATGGAAAGATCGAAACTCCAAAGGAGACACCTCTGGAGTGAAGTCAGAGACTGAGAAAAGCAGGGCCTGAAACGGATGCAAGATCCGATTGGCTGGGGGCTGGGTCTGACCTGAGTGACAAAGGAGAAGTAACTGTGAGTGGGTGCTAAAGTTAGAGGACAGAAACTAGAGCGGCTTTTAAGATTAGATCTAAATAGGCTTGAGAAGAGAGGTACACTGGAAATTTTCAAAATTATAAACACTCCTTGGGGAAAAATTTTCCCTTTCTAATACAGTTCTCATGTATGAAAATTTCAAAAACACATTAAAAATGTTAAAAGAAAACTTCAAGATTACTGGAATGTATGAGGAGAAAGGTATTAGGCCATTCAGTGTAGTATCTGACTTCCTACGGATAATATGGAGCAGTGATCCTCAATATCCCTAGTGCCGCAACGCTTTAAAACAGTTTTTTATTTTGCAGTGACTCCCAACCATGAAAGTATATAAAAGGATTTTCTTTACTACTTTATAATTTTGATACTGTTATGACTTTTTTGTTGTTGTTGTTGTTGTTTTGAGACAGGGTTTCTATGTAGCCTTGGCTTCCTAGACTTGCTTTTTAGAGAAGGCTGGCCTCAAACTCAGAGATCCACCTCCTGACTCTGGGATTACAGGCGTGTACCACTGCACCTGGTCTTTTATGACTCTTAATGTGAATATGTGATATAGATAGGATATCTGATATGTGACCCCTGTGAGAGAATCATGCTACTCCCAAAGGAGTCACGAATCACAGGTTGGGAACCACTGGTCTAGATTTGTCTCATGAGCGTCACTGTCAGAAATTCTGCCCTGTGTCTTCATCTGTGCCATTCCACAGGGAGGGATGCATTTTCATTGTTTTTTACTTTTTATTGTTGCCCATTTTGATCACCTGCTAAACAACTTCCAGAGAAGAAAAGCAAAGCATCAGTTCACAAATTTGCCTAATGTCATTACAGCTAAAAATGAGAGAGGCGGGAACCCTGCCCTCTCAGTTCCCCTCATCTCTCCTTGACTGCCTCTATCTCATCGTGATAAGACATGTAAGATGGAGCCACCTGATCCTTCTACCAGAACACATGCTTCTTCCATCACAAGAACTCAAAGAACCCTTTGAGACTATGAATGGTGGTTTTCCTTTTCCTCCTTTATTTCTAATCCTAAGAATCATGAAAGCGGCACAACTGGCGTTGACTATTCTTTTTTGTTTTGTTGTTGTTTTGGTAAATGTCTTAACGAGCCAGGTCATGATTGAACATGCAAAAGCAAAGAGAGTAATGAGACTACCTTGGTTCTAGTTCAGTCTCTATGGTTTAGAAAGGGCAGTCCCCAGACAACCCAAAATGACATATCATGTTCCCAAGAGAAACATTCACTTCCAACTTGCTTGTCCTGCCTGATGTCTCTCTCCACTGCTTCCTGAAGAAGGTCTTGGATGTGTAGTCATCTCACCTATCTAGGGTCTTAGTGGTGAGGATTCATTCTGAGTGAATGCTAAGCCTCCTGTTGTACTTCCGTCTTTTCTGATCAGTAAACTCAAGTGCAGACCTACCCACATGTGTTCTGATGGGAAGAACAGTGCTCTTTGTAAAGGCTAGTAGAACTTTCTCCGGCTGCTGGTGCAGGTGTTGGAAACAGATGCCTCTGTGCTCGTCTGGAAACCCCGAAACTCCCCAGAATTCTGGTAATGTTGTATTAAGAGGAAGGTAACTTAAAGGTTCTCTCGCCTTTTGTTTTGATCATTACCTAACCAACATGGAACCAGAACCTACTATTTAATAAATAAAGCTTATAAGTAATAAATTATAACAGCATATATAATGGCACACAGAGAAAACATTCATTAGAAATGTAAAGGTTTGTCTCAGCTTCATGCTTCACCATCGTATTCAGAGTTGTCCAAAGGAGAAATAATT